AATTTTGGTGTAGTGTTTTTAGAAACATCTTGTGTGTAGTAATTAGTGAAGTAGGATTGGGCAGAGGGAAACACTGAGCGGTGATGAACTCTGGAGTTGGAATGACACTTCAGAGTTGGTCTGTATTGAAACAAGGAGCTAGGCCTTTGCACCCCCAGACTAACCAATCACGCTATATCAGTTGCATCTGAAGAGTGAAGCCTCTCTCTTTTATCAAGGGCATTTCTTGGGGAGGGACTCAAACATGAAACTCAGCCAAGACCCCTGGAAGTGAGGAAAATGAGTAACTTGGTCTTGATGGAGAATCTGGGCAGTGTAAACATACAGAAAAGTGCACCAAATGTAAGTATGCAGCTCAGTGAATTCTCCCAGCTTAATCGCCAGTCAGGTAAAAAAATTTATCAGCACCTCAGATCTTTCTTTGCTATCCCCTCTCCCTATCATCACTTTCTAGACTTTTAATACATAATTGGATCATTAAAAAAATTTCATAGACATAGAATCATGGACCATGTATTCTTTTGAATCTGACTTTTTGTTCAATATTATGTTTATGAGATTCATTCATATCATGTGTTATTTTACTTTGTTCATTTTCATTGATGTGCATAGTCATCTTGAGTGTGAACATCCATAAAACAATGATTCGTTTGACTCTGGAAAGGCATTTGAGTTGTTTCTGATTCTGGGTATTAAAAATATTGCTGTGATGTCTTGGAGTGCATGTGTACGTGTTTCTGTTGGGTATATATCTAGGCGTGACTGCTACTTTTAGGGTGTTTGGAGGCTCCATTTTATTGTTGTTGTTGTTGTCAGGTGCCATCGAGTCGGAACCGACTCATAGCGACCCCATGCAAAGCAGAATGAAACAATGTCCGATCCTGGGCCAACCTCACTACCGCTGCCACACTTGAGTCCATCAATGATGCCACCTAGCTGATCCATCTCGTTGGGGGTCTTCCTCTTTTTCTCTGACCCTCCACCCTACCCAGCATGACATCCTTCTCCAACAATTGTTTCCTCCGGACAATATGTCCAAAGTAGGAGAGATGAAGCTTAGTCATCCTGGCCTCCAAGGAGCACTCTGGCTGCACTTCTTCCAAAACAGATCTATTGGTTCTTTTGGCAGTCCATGGCACTTTCAGTATTCTCCTCCAACACCACAACTCAAAGGCATCAATTCTTCTACGATCCTCCTTATTCACTGTCCAGCTTTCGCATCCATATGAGGCTATTGAAAACACAATGGCCTGGGTCAGGCGCACCCTAGTCCTCAAGCTGACATCTCTGCTCTTCAACACTTTAAAAAGTTCCTGTGCAGCAGATTTGCCCAGTGCAATACGTCGTCTGATCTCTTAACTGCTACTTCTGTGAGTGTTGATAGTTGATCCAAGAAGAATGAAGTCCTTGACAACTTCAATCTTTTCTCCATTGATAAGAATGTTGTTTATTGGTCCAGTGGTGAGGATTTTTGTTTTCTTGACATTGAGATGTAATCCATATCGAAGGCTGTGCTCTTTGATCTTCATAAGTAAATGTTTCAAGTCCTCTTCACTTTCAGCGATCAAGGTTGTATCATCTGCATATCGCAGGTTGTTAATGAGTCTTCCTCCAATCCTGATGCCACGTTTTTCTTCATAGAACCCAGCTTCTCGTATTATTTGCTCAGCATACAGGTTGAATAAGTATGGTGAAAGAATACAACCCTGTCTCACACCTTTCCCAATTTTAAAACATTCAGTGTTCCCATGTTCTGTTCGAACAACTGCTTCTTGGTCTAGGTACTGATTTCTTAGAAGTACAATTAAGTGTTCTGGAATACTCATACTTCTCAATGTTGTCCATAGCTTGTCATGATCCACACAATCGAAAGCCTTTGCGTAGTCAATAAAGCACAGGTAAACATCCTTCTGATATCCTCTGCTTTCAGCCAAGATCCATTGGACATCAGCAATGATATCTCTCGTTCCACGGCCTCTTCTGAATCCAGCTTGAACCTCTGGAAGTTCTCTGTCAATGTATGATTGTATCCATTTTATTAAACCATGTCAAATAGCTTTCCAAGTGATAGTTCCAACTTACACTTTTACCAGTAGTGATGAGATTTCCTGCTGCTTTACATCCTTGTCAACAATTTGGAATTGCTAGTTTTTACTTTCAGGCATTTTGATGGATGGGTAGTGGCACAACGAAACCTCTTGAGAGCTAGAACTTGAGGCCTGCCTTGCTTTCCCAGGTATCAAATGTTTTCCACTTTTTACAGGGTGCAGTCTTACAACATTTCTGTTACTGTCCTCTCTAAGTGGAAAAGAGTGGCATTTTCCTTCTTTTACAGGCTCTGTCCTACACAGATTCTAGTTCTCACAGGTTTTATTTTATTGCTAAATTGCCTATCTTGTTTACTAATGAGATTCAGCACTTTTTCATATGCAAATCTGTAGGATAATGCACTGGACCACAAGGTCAGTATGAACCGCAAGGTTGGCGGTTCAAACCCACCAGCCACTTCTCAGAAACCCTATACAAGGTCACTGTGAGTTGGAATGGACTCAACGGCACTTCAACAACAACAATTGATCATTTTATTTGGGGAGAATTGCGTTTTCAGTTCTCGTGCTAATAACGTTCTATTGTGCTGTCTGCTTTCTTACTCAATTTTAAAAGAATTATGTGTTTTTTCAGTACAAAACCTGACTTGATTATGTGTGTGATGGTTAAGGTTATGTGTCAACTTGACTACGATCCTCAGTGGTTTGGCAGTTAGATAATGGTATACTCAACCTTCACTTTGTGATCTGATGTGAAAAGCCAATCAGTTGAAAAGGGAGTTTCCTTGGGGTGTAGACTGTATCCAATGTATATGGATGTTCTTGGGACCTGAGCAGATTTGGGGTTCGTCAGCCCCTGCAACCATGTGAGTCTGAAGAAGCGTCCACCTGACTCATGTCAGGATTTGGGACTCACCAGCTTTCACAATTTTGTGAGTCATTTCTTTTCATCAAATTTCTTTCTCTGTGTTTTTATGTCTACATTTTACTGGTTTTACCAGTGTAACATTGTTGCTACTGTTGTTGTTAAATGCCGTGGAGTCAGTTCCGCCTCATAGCGATCCTGTATAGGGTTTCTGAAGAGCGGCTGGTGAGCTTGAACTGTTGACTTTGCGTTTCAAACTGACCTTGCAGTTGCGCATTAACCTGCAGTGCCACATCAGGAATCGCACGATAGTGTGCCACAAAATTATCTCCCACTAAGTCACTTGGTGTGGCCTGCAGGATACTGCACTGGACTGCAAGGTCTGTTAGAATTGCAAGGTCAGCAGTTCAAATCCACCAACCGCTCCTCGGAAGCCCTGTACAGGGTTGCTATGAGTCAGAGCAGACTCGACAGCACTTAACAACAACCATTAACTTGAGTTTTCACTCTTTTAACTATGTATTTTGATGAAAAAAATTCTTCTTTTTAAAGTAGTCCAAGTTGTCAATATTCTCTTTCTGATTAGCGCTTCAATATCTTGTTTAAGAATCTGGACTTCTGGGAAGCTGGCAGCATGAGGTAGCTTTCCAGCTCTCCTGCATAACACCAAAACAAGCAACTAGAAATACAAGGGTAAGTGAAAAATATTGCTACACAATTATTGTTTTTTTGCAGGAGCAAAAAAAGCTTCATTTCCTTCCACTGAGCAGCTGATTGGCTAGAAGCGTTGACCCTGTGGTCCCCAGTCCACTGCTTATGCTATGGAGTCACCAGTTTCTCTACACAATCATAGAAACCTTTAGGAAACAAAAATATCAAAATGTGAAGTTACTGTTTCATGCCATTCCCACCATCTAGGCCTACACACTTCTGAAGGTGGTGTTCCCGTCTCTCTAACCCTTCCCTGAAGAATTCTGCACTCTCATTTATTCCACATCAAAATGGCCGTTTGGCATCCTTAAAGGACTCAAATCTTGTTCTTTTTCAATGTTCTTTGAGTTTGGGGAACAAAAAGAAGTCTGAAGGGGCAAGATTAGGGCTGTAGGGTGGATGGGTAAGGTTTCTCAATGGAATTCTCAAAGGATAACCCTTGCTACCTTCTAACAATGAACAGGTGCATTTGTCATGATGGGAAAATTTCCTCAGCACAATTTTCATGTTTTTTTCCTTACAATGTAGCTTTCAATTTTTCTTAAATTTCCTCATAATAAGTTCCCATTATTGTCCTGTGTCCTTGATAGAAAAATCTATCAAGATTATTCCTTGTTGTTGATAAGTGCCACTGAGTCAGTTCCGACTCATAGCAACCCTGCATAGGGTTTCTGAGGAGCAGCTGGTGCGCTTGAACCACTGACCATGCAGTTCAAACTGATTTTGCAGTCCAGCACATTAACCCACAGCGCCATACCCGGACTCCAGAGGAATCCCAAAAAACAGTCACCATAACCTTCTGAGCTGACCTTTCTGTCTTTGAATTGGAATGGTCCAGAAAATCCCCCAGAAGCAACTGTTTTGATTAGTTCTTGTTATTGAAGGTACCCTAACAAGACTAAGACAAGTGCTTTACTGAAAGAAATTATCTGCTGTTGTCCACTGATCACAGAGACATATTTAAACACAGTTTGTTTGGAATCAACCTGTGAATGTAGGAACTGGAACCCTAGAAGCAATATTTTTGTGTGTATGTGTGGGGCATATAATGGCCACTTAAATGAGAATACCATTACAGATCTCATTGTGTTTCTGTTGTACACCCTTTCTTGCTATGTTTAGATATGCAATAACTATTAAACTCATTTTGCTACAAGTTGTTGTTAAGTGTCGTCGAGATGGTTCTGACCCATAGCGATCCTGTATAGGGTTTCTGAGAAGCAACTGAAGAGCTTGAACCACTGACCTTGCAGCTCAAACAGCTTTGCAGTCTGGCGCATTAACCCACAGCACCACACCAGGACTCCTTGCTACATTCGGTTCTATTTTCTTATAAAATAAATTAAATTTCTACAAGTCAATAACCTCAAAAGTACCTTCCAGTTCTCTGTTAAAGCAACTGGGAAGAGTTTCCAGTAGAAAATACAGTCTGCTGAGCTCCATGGTTTCAATTTCTAGAAGATCAATTGTGGATTTTCTCATTTCTTCCTGAAATTTTAAATCACATTTTAAAAAGTCAAGACACTAAAATAGTAAGATTCATTTCTTAAACAATGTCCTGTAAATGTTTTCAGAGGTCAAAATTGGATTTTCATAAAATATTTTCAAGCTTTATTTCAATTTCAAGTTGAAAATGGGGGAAACATCTACTACACAGAGTTGTTAATGTTAATTTACCTTTTAACGGCTGCTGGTTTTCTTTTATGCAGAAATTATCTTTTTCCCGAAATGGACATGTTTCTTACATGCTCTTTCAATCAATTTAAAAGAAAAGACTCTAACAAAATAGGTAACATTGAGAAAGAAATCTATTTAATTTGAAAAATGGAAATTGTCTATAAAAATAGACCTACGTATAAAGATGACTAGGAGCTCTGGTAGCATAGTGGTTACAAGTTGGGCTGCTAACCTCAAGATCAGCAGTTCAAAACTACCAGCAGTTCCGTGGGAGAACGATGAGGCTTTCTGCTCCAGTAAAGATTTATAGCCTCGGAAACCCTATACAGGGTCACTATGGGTCGGAACCGACTCGATGGCACTTAACAGCAACAACATAAAGATGGCAGTAATTCTTTTATATATACCTTATCTATACTTACAAATCCAACCAAAATACTCAGATGGAGGTTTTTTTTCAAAATAGATGAGATCAGTTTACAAAAGAGAAAAACTATTCAAAAATCAGTTGTAGATAAATATCTTTGAAATAAATGTTTATAATGGTTATAGCTTGGTAAAGTGGAGGGTCAACAAAAAATGGGAAGACCCCAATGAGATGGATTGGCACAGTGGCGGCAGCAGCAATGGGCTCAAGTGTAGCAATGACCGAGAGGTTGGCACAGGACCAGGCAGTGTTTCGTTCTGTTGTGCATAAGGTCACTATGAGTTGGTATCAACTTGATGGCACCTAACAACAACAACCTAGCTATTTTAGGACCTGAACAATCATATGTATAGCATGATCATTTTTCTATAAGAATAAAATTCAATGCATGCATCACTTGAAAACAGAAAATTAATCAAAGAACTCATCATGATTATTTTGAGAATGGATCATGGTGATAGCTAGGCACCACAAAGCCAAAATCTAAATCTGTTGCCCTTGAGCCAATTCTGACCCCAGCAACTGAAGGACAGAGTAGAGCTGCTTCATAGGATTTCTACTGTCACGTCTTTCTCCTGAGGAGTAGCTGGTGGGTTCGAACTGGCAACCTTTTGCTTAGTAGCTGAGCATTTAACCACTGTGCCACAAAGGCTCCTTTACACAACATGGTGGTGGTGGTTGTGTGCCGTCGAGTCAGTTCCGACTCATAGTGACCCTGTATAGAGTTTCCAAGGGTGTAAATCTTAATGGGAGCAGAAAGCCTCATCTTCCTCCCACGCAACATGGTGAACATGTCACTACATTCTACAGGCCCAAAGTGCTAAAACAGTAAAAATGGTGAGACTGTGGCCGTTTTTACTTTCTTCTTTGTGCATATCTTTTATCATCCTAATTTTTCCAGAGTAAACATGTATCACATTTATAGCATGAGAATTTATTACTTTTTAAAAGTTAAGGAGAGATTTAGATGTGTTACTTAAGAAATTTCAAAGCTCAGATATTAAGTAGAGCCATACTGGATTTAGTACCCATAATAAATGTTTTGGCCTCTTCAAGTCCTAGAGAAAAGCCAGCATAAAAGAACAAAGGAGGGGGAAATGGTCTCATAGAACCACAGTGTGGCACTCCATATAAAAAACTTATGTTTCCACATCTATATTAAATGAAGTGGAGTGATGAAGTATAATTATGTATTTAGTATATATGGATATATTATTGTTGTTAAGTGTGTCAAGTTGGATCTGACTCATAGCGACTCTGTATAGGGTTTCCAAGGAGGGGCTGGTGAGCTTGAACTGCCAACCTTGTGGTTTAAACTGACTTTGTGGTCCAGTGCTTTATCCTACAGCACCATACCAGGACTCCAATATATGTACATATAGCATATATAAGACAATAAAATAATGAAATTAATTTTGTAGGCTCAAATTTATTTACTTTAGTGCTATATCTCTACATTTTCAGATATTTGTATTGCAGTAGACTCTTACTCAATATTTTTATATCAAATGAAGAGCCTTTTGAATTCTGACCACTCTGAAGAAGCATATCAAACATCATCCAGGGCTAAACAGAGCCTGTCTGTGACTTTTCACTAGGAAATTCTTTAACTATTTCTCCAACTCATCTTTTACAGAGGCCAGGTTAGTACAACTGGAAGAATTTTGTTTGCTTGTTTTCATTGAACAGTACTGTTGACCCCAAGGGATGAGGTGCCAAATAATTTTTCACCAGTTATAGGAAATTGCTTATAGAAAAGTTAACTGGCACCAGGCATTCAATATATTCTATTTTATTCCAAAAGTCACTTGTTTATTCATTGATTGCTTTAAGTAACGTTTATACAGTGGTATCTGAAGCATTTGCTCATACGCTCGTCCCTTAACCAAACATTATCATCACCAGTACTGTTTCTCCTAAGTAGACCTGGCTTCATCCATACAGTAGGCTCATAATTCAATTTTCCAAATGGAAAACAAACAACAACCTAGAATTGACCAACACCATTACAAATGCTTAGTAAATTGAGAGGAAATCTTTTTAAACGGAAGGTAAATTTCTCCCTATTCATTTTTTAAAGTATCTCAAACAAACAAACCCAAACCCATTACCAAAGAGTTGATTTCAACTCAAGGTGACCTTATGTATTACAGAATAGAATAGATCCATCAGGATTTTCTTGGCTTTAAAGATTTACAGAGGTGTCCTGGTGTGGTGCTGTAGTAGAAGCTATGGAGAAAAAGATCAGTTTGAACCACAAGGTTGGTAGTTCAAACCCACCAGCCGCTCCTCAGAAATGCTATACAAGATTGCTATGAGTCAGAACTGGCTTGATGGCACTTTAACAACAATAATCTTTACAGAAGCAAATCACCAGGCTTTTCTTCCATGGTACTAGGGGGTGGGTTTGAACCACCAACCTTTTGGTTTATAGCAGAGAGTAAACTGTGCCACTCAGGAACTCTTGCCTTGAACAGAACTGGTACTAAATTAAAGTTTGAGGACAAAATGTATGGAAAATAGAAAGAATAGCTTTTATATATAATACAATACCAATTTCTTAACAGCTACAGAAATGCCCTGAAGAAAGGTTCTAACTTCTTCATCGCACTTAAAATAGTCACTTTGCAGCGATTGTTCTAAAAGAAAAAAAAAATTTGAAAATTTAAATCTCTTATTCATCTGTCTAAATCAAGAGTTCAAGACTAGTCCTATCATTGACAATGAATGACCTTAGATTTATGCAAACAATTTAGTCCTTTCTAGGGTCGATATTCTTTATTATAATAATTACCCAGACCTAGCTCATAAAAATGGTGGTATTAATTCATCTAGCTCAAATGCTTATTCAGCTCGAAGTTACACCTTTTACTCTGAATTTCTGTAATATATTACATGAGTCTTGATAGAATCCCTCAGACACATGTTTAATAAAATGGCTGCTTGCCGCGCTTTCTCGCTCTCTCCAGGAACCTCTCTTCCAACCTACCAGAACTTCCTCTTTCTACCTGCATGGCATCCCTAGTCAACCTACCACTTACCTCCACTAATCTCAACTCTGCCTTCCTCTTGGTCCAGTGTAAAAGTCCTTTCCCAGGCAATACTCCCTCTCTTGCACTCTCTTTCCTCCTGGCCCTCAATAAAGCCTTACACATGGGTGTTTGTGTTCCAGTTCATTCCATCTCACAAAGTCTCTTCGGTACTTGGTACTTCTATTTTATGGTATTCTACTTTAGGTACATATTTTATGTTAAGAACAAACTCCTCTTAATACTCATTTTTGCATCTCTCATAGTACAAAGAAAGGTTCTGTATATCGTTGTTAAGTGCCGTCAAGTCAGTTCCAACTCACAGCAACACTGTATAGGGTTTCCAAGAAGTGGCTGGTGAGTTTGAATAGCCGAACTTTAGGATAAGACAAAAAAGTGTTAAAAAGCATAGATGTCATTTTGAAGACTAAGGTGTGCATGACTCGAGCCATGGCAGTTTGTTTTTTTTTCAGTGTTTTATTGTGAATTATATGATAGTTTACATAGAAAAACATGAGCTTTACATTGCCATGGTTACAATCCCCTCCATGCATCATCAAACAACCAAAGGGCATACCCTGCAAGCCTGCCACCCCAGTTGTCAGCACACAGCCCCTCTCCCTCTCTGGGTCTAGAGTTCTCAGCCATTCCATCTCTCCACATCATCATCTCTGCCTCCATATCCGGCATCACTGTTTCTCTGGGTAGGGTCCCGCTCTCTGCTCTTCTCCCTTGATGATCCCAGGGACCTCTGTTCCTGGACTGCAAAGTCAACCATTTCCCTTCTTTTGCTATAAAACATCTACTTTTACATTCCAACCCTCACAGTCAGTCCTGATAACAATTATTCACTCTTGTGCCACATGAGTGGTATCCTCATTTCCTTTCATCAGCCCCGCCCAGACAGATTGGATACTACTCAGTGGAGATTCTACCTTCTGGATCTAGGCTCCCTCTTGAAAGCATTGTAAGCCAGTCACTTCTTGCCTTTGTAGCCCCCCATTTTGGGCAGTAGCCATAGCATTTTTGGTTGTATGTGAAAGCTGGACAATGCATAAGAAAGACAGGAAAAGAAATGATGCCGTTACATTATGGCTTTGACAAAAATGTGAATTTACCATGGACTGTCAGAAGAATAAATAAATGTGTCTTAGAAGAGGTGCAGTCAGAAATCTCCTTAGAAATTAAGATAGTGAGAAGATCTTATGTGCTTTGAACATATTATCGGGAGGGACTGGTCCCTGGAGAAAGGCATCATGCTTGGAATAGTAGAGGGTCAGTGAAAAAGGGGAAGGCTCTCAATGCGATGGACTGACACAGTGGTTGCACCAATGGACTCAACCACAACAATTGTGAGGATGGCACAGGACTGGGCAGTATTTTGTTCTGTTGTATGTAGCTTAAGGTTGCTCTCAGACAGAATCAACCTAACAGCACCTAACAACAACAACATAATGGAGTTTTGATTAAGGGTGATTCCATATCTATAATGAACGTCATGTCACTTGTGGCTGATCAGTGATGGAGTTTAGATTCAAGTGATGTGACTCTCTTTATGGCGGTGGTGGTGAGAGGCCATGGAGTCGGTTCTGTGAATCTTTACAGGACCAGAAAACCTTTTCTTTCTTCCACGGAGCAGCTGGTAGTTACGAACCACAGGCTTTTCAGTTAGTAGCCAGACTCGTAACCCAGTATTCTATCAGTATTCCTCACCATTTAAAAGATGAAGTAGCCATTTCTGCCCACTGGTTCAGAGAACTTGGACTCTCTTAAACAAACTAAGTCCCCAAACTAAAAGAAAATCAGTCTCAGAGTATGTGAGTGTATTATAGAGAGCCAGGCACTGGTATGGTGCTGTGGGCTAATGCGTCAGACTGTGAAGTCGTTTGAACTGCAAGGTCGTTGGTTCAAGCTCACCAGCTTCTCCTTGGAAACACTATACAGGGTCACTATGGGTCGGAATCGACTCGATGGCATTTAACAACAACAACAAAGGCACTGAAAGCTATCTATCTCCTTTTCTTTTTTTAATAAATGAGCACAAACTTGTTCCTGCTTATAGATGGGCTGACGGCTACATATTTGTATTTTATAACTCATATTTAGGTCAGAAAGACATATGATGCTTCCTTCTATGAAACACTTCCTGCAGGTTCAGAGATTATTAGCAGAAAAAATTTATTTGCACATAAACAAAGGAGCTCTGGTAGCGTAGTGGTTACGAATCTGGCTGCGAACTGCAAGACAGCAGTTCAACACTACCAGCTGTTCTGCAGGAGAAAGATAAGGCTTTCTATTCCCATAAAGATTTACAGCCTCTGAAAGCCTGTACAGGGTCGCTATGAGTCGGAACCAACTCCACAGCACATAACAACAACAACAACAACTGGAGTTAAAGGCACATGCTGATCTAGAGATCAATCACGAAGCGAATTCCAGACTTGCTCTATCATTGACAATGACTTGGATACATGTGAATAATTTAACCTCTTTGGGGGTCAACATTCTTTATGATAATACTTGTCCAAGCCTATCTCACAAGAAGTGTGGCATTACATTGTTGTTGTTGAGTGTTGTTGAATGGGTTCTGACTCATGGCAACTGTATAGGGTTTCTGAGGCTGTAAATCTGTGCAGGCGCAGAAAGTCTCATCATTATCCTGTAGAGCGACTGGTTGGCTCAAACCACCAATTTTGTGGTTCGTCGTGTGTAGTGCTTATCCTAGAGAGCCACTGTACTCCCAACATTAAATTAATTCATCTAAAAAAGGAAACAAAGAAACAATGCCAAATTAACAGTATATTATAGTAGAAATCAATATGATTATCTCTAAACAGTGAAACCTTGCTGCCTGGCTTAAATGGCTTTTGTTCTGAGCAAGAACTGCCTTTTCTTAGAATATGTCTTACCCTAGTTATCCGATAAGCACTGGACTGGGAACCACAAGGTTTGCCGTTCGAGCCCACCAGATATTCCGGGTGAAAGACGAGGCTTTCTGCTGCCTCAAAGATTTAAAAATCCTCGGAAACCTTAATAGGATCACTATAAGTTGGAACCGACTCAATGGCACTTAAAAACAACAAAACAAAACAGGATCCTCTTACGCATTTTTCCTGTTTGTGTGTTAAACTCTCCAGTTTTTACTGGCAACATGTTGGAGGCAATTAACTTGCAAAGGGACAGGCAGAAACCCAATGTACAATCTAAAGGTAGGTGGGTAGGCTGTTGCTGACAACGGTCAAGAAGAGTGGTCACCAGCTTCTAGTTTGGGCTGGACCAGTCCCTCCAGAACTAGACTTGAAAAGGTGAGGCGCTAGGATCCCCTTTCTGTCCCCCACTTCTCCTCCAGGGAACGGAGGAGGCGCTGGCCTGAGCCAACGATGCTCTGGGCTCTCTGAGGAAGACCTCTGCTGAGGTGTCCCTCTGAGAGACGCCTCGGTGCACCCTCCGTGGGGATGTCTCTCTTGGCGCCTGCAAGTCTCTTACCCACGACTAACAGCTGCTCCAGAGCCGCAGTGGCGACCGAGGAACCCAGGGAGGAGGGGGCGGTGCATAACTCCAGGGAGGGACCGGTGGAGAGGCGGACCGCCCGCCTAGTCTTCTCTGCGACAGCTCGCTCAGTAGCGGTCTGCTGTACCTTTTCGCGGACCCCCATCTCAGAGCCACAGGGGCTCAGCGCCATCTCGCAGCTTCAGCGCCCCGCTTGGGCTGCCTGAACTACGGTGGTCGGTTGCCACAGGTAACGCGATCACGGGGGCACCGGCGCCCCCTGGTGGCAGGAAATAGTATGGTTTCCTTGCCGCATTGTTGTTGTTGTTGTTAAGTGCCGACCCATAGCGACCCTGTACAGGCCTTGCCGCATTACAAATTCATTAATGTGCCAGACTGCAAAGCCATATGAACTGCAAGGCTGGCGGTTCAAGCTCACCAGCTGCTCCTCGGAAATCCTATACAGGGTCGCTGTGGGTCGGAATTGACTCGACGGCACTTAACAGCAACAACCAAAATTCATTAAATGGTGAAGAGATAGTGTGTTTAACAAAGGGTGCTGGGCAAAATTGGATATACACTTGCAGAAAATGAAACAGGACCTACCTCTCACACCATGTACAAAAATGAACTCAAGCTGGATCAAAGACCTAAATGTAAAATTATGTTGTTGTTGTTGTTGTTGTTGTCAGGTGCCATCGAGTCGGTACCAACCCATAGCGACCGAATGCACAGCAGAATGAACACTGCCCAATCCTGGGCCAATCTCACTACTGTTGCCATGCTTGAGTCCATCGATGCTGCAACTTGGCCAATCCATCTCTTTGGGGGTCTTCCTCTTTTTCTCTGATCTTCCACCTTACCAAATATGATACCTTTCTCTAGGGACTGGTCCTTCCTGACAATATGTCTGAAGTAGGAGAGACAAAGTTTGGCCATCATGGCCTCCAAGGTACACTCTGGCTGCACTTCTTCCAACACAGATCTGTTGGTTCTTTTGGCAGTCCATGGCACTTTCAATATTCTCCTCCAACACCACAACTCAAAAGCATCAGTTCTTCTATGGTCTTCTGCTGGAAGCTGTTGAGGGTATAGGACAGCTACGATTTGCTGCTTGACAAAGTTCCAGCAAATAAGAAGAGACATCTTGCAAGACAGGGGACTCTCAGAAGTTGCTTTCTACCTTCTCTTTAGAGTAATCTTTAATTTACTTGTAAAAATATATAATATGGCAATATTCACAGCCTTTCACTATGAATTCTACAAACCTTAGGAAAAACTAGCTTATTAACAATTGCTTTCAGCTTTGGTGGATTGAATACAAAGAGAATTGTATAAATTACTCCTTTTCATAGAAAACCTAAGTGACTGCATTTGTGAGGCCACAAAGGCAGATAGTATATTAGAGTCAAGCTGACCTACCCCCATACACCTCACCACAATTGGTCACTAGCTAGAATTTTCAAACCTCTACATACAGACACCTGTGTAAAAAAGCAGACAATAATGAACTTAAGTGAAGGATAATTTTGACCTAATAATCTATACTTCTTGCAGCAAGTAGCCAGGTTGGGCTTTATGCCACATAGCTTCTAAGTGATTTAATGAATACTTTTATTATGAAAATAATAGCACATTATGTAGGATAGAAAGTTTATAATCTTTTAGTAGCAACAAGAAGAAACAGTTTATTCACATACTGGGAAAGTAGATGAAGGTCAGTCTGAACATCACAGAAGTATTTTTGTCAAGGTTATCTAATGACCAGGTGCAAGGATGTTGTGACGAACTGTGTAATAATTCAAGAAATGATAAAAGTGTCAATGCATGTACTGTGTAGTTTTAAGTATAAAAAATAAAGACTTGCTGAGCTGGGAGCAGAAAGTAGGAGGAAGAGAAAGAGGGCAGAAGCAGCAGAGGAAAGGAGGGAGGAGGAAGGAGGCAGAGGGCAGACAGCACAAGGCATAGGGCAGAAAGAAGCAGAAGCAGAAGCAGAAAGCAGGAGGCAGAAGCTGGAGAGAACAGCCAGACAGCACAGCAAGCTGAAAAGCCTTTCGATTGTATTCATTCATTTCTTCTTTACCACCGATTCCGCGTATCCTCTCGTGTCCCACGACCCCCGCGGTCTTCCTTATTCACTGTCCAGCTTTTGCATGCATACGAGGTCATTGAAAATACCATGGCTTGGGTCAGGCATACCTTAATCCTCAAGCTGACATCTTTACTCTTCAACACTTTCAAAAGGTCTTGTGCAGCAGATTTGTCTAATGCAATATGTCATTTGATTTCTTGACTGCTGCGTCCATGAGTGTTGATAGTTGATCCAAGAAGAATGAAATCCTTGACAACTTCAATCTTTTCTCCATTGATAAGAATGTTGTTTATTGGTCCAGTGGTGAGGATTTTTGTTTTCTTTACATTGGGATGTAATCCATACTGAAGGCAGTGGTCTTTGATCTTTGTCAGTAAATATTTTTAGTCTTCTTCACTTTCAGCAAGCAAGATTGTATCATCTGCATATCGCAGGTTGTTAATGAGTCTTCCTCCAATCCTGATGCCACATTTTCCTTCCTAGAACCCAGCTTCTCAGATTATTTGCTCAGCATACAGGTTGAATAAGTATGGTGAAAGAATACAACCCTGTTGCACACCTTTCTTAATTTTAAACTATTCAGTGTTTCCATGTTCTGTTCAAATAACTGCCCCTTGGTCCAGGCACAGATTCCTCATGAGCACAATTAAGTCTTCCGGAATATTCATAATTTGCAATGTTGTCCATAGTTTGTCATGAGCCACACAATCGAAAGCCTTTGTGCAGTCAATAAAGCACAGGTAAACATCTTTCTGATATTCTCTGCTTTCAGCCAAGATCCATTGGACATCAGCAATGATATCCCTTGTTCCATGGTCTCTTCTGAATCTGGCTTGAACCTCTGGAATTTCTCTGTCAATGTATGATTGCAGCTGTCTCTGTGTTACTTTTAGTAAAACTTTACTCTCATGGGATATCAAAGAGATTGTATGATGATTTCCGCATTCCGTTGGGTCACCTCTCTTTGGAATGGGCACAAATATGGATCTCTTCCAATCAGTTGGCCAGATAGTTGTCTTCCAAATTTCTTAGCAGAGATGAGTGAGTGCCTCCTGTGCTGCCTCACTTTCTTGAAAGATTTCTGGTTTTATTCCATTAATTCCTGGTGCCTTGTTCTTTGCCAATTCCTTCAATGCACCTTGGACTTTCTCCTTCAGTATCATTGGCTCTTGATGATATGCTACCTCTTGAAACTGTTGAACATCAACCATTTCCTTTTGGTACAGTGACTCCGTGTATTCCTTCCATCTTCTTTTGATGCTTTCTGCATCATTCAATCATTTGCCCAGAGAATCCTTCAATAACGAAAGTCAAGGCTTGAATTTTTTCTTCAGTTCCCCCAGTTTATATAGAGACCACGAGTTAGGGGTTAATACGCTATACAGTAACGTTGGTTTGAACTGCAGGGTGTTTGGAAACTTTATACAGGGCCGTTATGAGTCATAAGCGACTCGACAGCACTCAACAACAATGCATTGGCATAAATCAAACATAACTGAAAACACACACACACAGCAAAAAGCAGACTAGATGAGTAAAAATTGGGTACTTAGGTGCATCCGAAAATTTCACCGAAAGAGTAAAAAGAGAACCCATAGACTAAAAATGGTCTGATGGCATGAACAGATACTTGACCAAAGAAGACAGTCAGGCAGCCAACAAACATCTGAGGAAACGGTCACCATCATTAGTTGCTGTTATGTTGAGTGAACCCACATAAGGGTTCCGAGGAACAGCTGGCAGGTTTGCACCTTGACGTTGTGACTCGAAGTCCAGTGCTTATCCTACAGTGCCACACCAGGACTCCTCATTAACCATTGTTGTTGTCGTTAAGGGCCGTCAAGTCTCTTCTGACCCATAGCGACCCTGTATAGGGTTCCAAGGAGCAGCTGGTGAGCTTGAATCACCGACCTTGCAGTTCAAACATCTTTGCAGTCTGGCAGGCACATTAATCCATTAGAAAGATGCAAATCAAAACAGCAATTTCACCCTAACATTAATAGTAGAGCTTTGTGTTTATTTGTTTTTTTAAATAAACAGAAAACAAATGCTGGCAGTGGTGTGAGGAGACTGGAACCCTCATACATGCTGGTTGTTATTGTTGTTGTTATGTGCCATTGAGTCGGTTCTGACCCATAGTGACCCTGTACAGGGTTTCCAAGGCTGTAAATCTTTACGGGAGCAGAAAGCCTTATCTTTCTCCCGTGGAGAAACTGCTGACCTTGCGGTTCACAGCCCGATTCGTAACCACTACGCTACCAGAGCTCCTTACTGGTAGAACTGTAAAATGGTGCAGTCACTGTGTAAAACAATATGGAGAAACCTCAAAAAGTTGGGAATAGAAATACCATATGACCCAGCAATGGTGGTATATGTCCTAGTGAAATAAGAGTCATGAAACAAGTAGATAAATGTGCACACATTTATTACAGCAATATTCACATTAACAAAAAGATGGAGACAGCCTAGATGTCCAGCAATGAAAACTTGAATAAACAAACTTTGGTACATGCACACAATGGAATATTATGAAGCATTAAAGAATAGTGATGAACTTGATAAATGCCTTATAACATGAATGAATCTGGAAGATACTATGCTGAGGTAAATTAGTCAATTTTTTGATGGTTAGCACAAGTGGGAGAGGGTTGTTGTTGCTGTTAGGTGCTGTTGAGTTGATTCCAACTGAACAAAACACTACCTAATCCCACGCCATCCTCACAATCATTGTTAAGCTTGAGCTGTTGCTGCCACTGTGTCAAACACGATCACTGGGAGTCTTGCCCCTTTTCACTGACCTTCCACTTTACCTAGCATGATATCCTTCTCCAGGGTCTGAAGACGAAGTCTCCCCATCCTGGCTTCCAAGGAGCATTCTGGCTGTACTTCTTACAATGCAGATTTGTTTGTTCTTCTAGAAGTCCATACCACTTTTTTTTTTTTTTTTAAGTTTTTTTCTTGTGAATTATGTGATAGTTTACATGGGAGAACTTTAGCTTTACATTCATCCTATCTTACTTCGTTTCATTATTACAGTTCCCTGCATGCATCATCAAACAGCCAAAGGATACACCCCGCAAGCTTGCACCCGGGCCATCAAC